CTTGATTTCGACTTTGATTTCCGCGCAAGGATTAATAAATTGTTCTACAATTGAAATTAATCTACAATGCCAGAAAAAAACCAACTGCCCTAAGAATATTGGATTAAAACAATAAATTAAACTCATATACATTTATTTTACATTTATATTAGCAAACTACTACTTATCAGATCATGGAATTACTCCAAGTTATCGATTAGTTGGAACAATTGCATTTAGATGCGAAAATAATTGAGAATGTTTTTCTCTACCATCGTATTAAGTTTGAAGAGCATCATAAAATTTGCCTAACAAAAAATAACGACGATTTATAACAAATAATCTAAAGCAATGAAATTGCCAAGGAGATGCACCATATTTTCATTTCGTCAACCAGTTAACCAGTTCATTGTCAGCTCAAAATTCAAGAGTACTCAATTTGTGCGATAAAATTATATATTAAAATACAATTTGCACTCTTTTCAAGTTCTTGGTTACATTGCGATTGTACCAGTCAAATGATCTCAACTCTTGATGTAGCTAAATTAATATTATTCAGCCGCTAGAATGAACGAGGCTAATTAAATGACTTACGGAACAAAATATTTTGATTGTAATTATCCGAAAATATTATATCTAGTTGTGTTTGTATTTAATTTGTCCCTGAAATGTAAAAAATATATAGTGTGTATAATTACGTATTTTGTTGATGTTAGTTATCTTCCCTCTGAAGTTATAAACTTTATTCTTCAAATAAATCGTTATTCTGCAACACAATGTATTCGAATTCAACGTATAATAATTCCAAATCTTGATTTTTCCTAAAAAAAACTCACTTAGGAGCTGGGTGCCTTGGGATTTTTTCTCAAAAATCTCTACAAAAGAAAAAATCCGGCATCAAGGTTCTGTTTTTTTTCAGATCTCGATGATTGAACAGCGAAGTGGAACTCGCTCGCTGCGCTGGGACTTCGTTCGAATTGCCGCGCATGGTTTTGCGTCTATCACATTTTAAATACTAAATGCACTTATATAGCCGAAATTTGTATTCATCATCGCGTAATTATAGAGCATAAGTACACCGAATGAAATAAACGATAATTTGTCTAAATAGAGATGCACTTTTTGTCCTTACGTAGCTCATCCTGATTCAGTTTGTAGGTCACATCCGCTCTCTGCTCGAACTATAAGACAGGGTTACGCACCATGTAGTCTATGTGAATATTTTTTCAATAACACAAAAAATTATTCAAGTTGGCTGTCGATAAACGAGGCAGCAAACTTAGAATAATGCTTTGGTTTTTGTTATGGTGAGTGCGTGCCGAGATGAATTATTCAAATTGTCAATTGACTATTCCTCCTAAACTGCGCAGTAATTTGCCCCTGTGAATGTTCTAACTTCATTTTGTATAAACTGATTTGCAAAGAGATATTAGTTGCAAATATATTTGCGTTCTGAAGAACATGAGCAAAATGAATTTGAGTCAGTTCAAAAAGACATTTATTAAAGATAATTTACAGGAGGATAGGAAATGAATATTTTCTTGCTTCAGACACGCAAACGATTCGAGCTTGTTTGACATTGATCATACAAGTTCCATTTCCAAGAAGTGTTAGGAATAAATTCTATTGCTCCATAAATATTTAGCTGGCTCAGCTTTTCCCAGAAATCGTTCCCGCGTAAACACTTCATTATCTTGAAAGATGAAACCTTCTTCTAAACTTCCTTATTACAGATATTGTTTGCATAAGAGATTTCATTGTTATAGATTTAGACGTTCAAGTTTACATAGATGTGTCGTGTCCTTCGGAGAGAATATTACAATTATTCTTCATCAGACGCTCATACGAGTTCCTAGATGCAGAAACGATGAAGCAGTTGTTTGTTGCCGTCGTACGCCCGAGTCTAGAGTTTGGAAACGTTGTGTGGTCACCGAGATTCGAAAAGGACAGAAATTTAATAGAGAATGTTCAAAGACGTGCAACAAGGATAATTCCAGGCTTTGGAAAAGAATCGGCGACAGGCCACATCAGGCCTACACTTCAGAGCCGACATCACTATGTTATGTTATGTTATGTTATAATGATGCTTCAAACTGGAATGTTCGGGGTATCAGTGCCGTAATTTATCAATGAGCGTGTCGATCGTAACAACTTAATTGATGTGGAACCCAAAGCTAGTCATTTAATAATGGGCCACGAGGCACTCCTCTATGGTGCCTTTCATGTAAATAAAACCAAGGCCTTCTTTTGCATATTTAAATTGCATGCCACTCCCTGCCAGACGCACGTTCTGCCCACGCAACGGTGACGACATCATCCTAAAGGTGCGGTGACGTCATCATCCCGAGCCACTGGGGACGTTGGGCTCGCTCTAGCAATCACGTGACATCATTGTTAGAGAATGACATTTTCTTATGCTAATATTTAAGAACAATAGTAGTAGGCTAGAAGTAAAGATAATAGTTCAACTATAATGAAAAATATCTTCAATACGGAGCAAAATGATCAAAGAAATGTAGTGCAAATCACTGCCGGACTGAGGATAACCTCATTGTTTATGCAGTGTTTATGACTGACTGGAAAAAATAAAATAAAAAGGTGATAAATCTTCTTCATTTAAAACCGATTTACCAGGTCATCATATTAATATATTTGCGTTACTATAGTATTGCTTTCTAACTTAGTTATTTGTTTGCTATGTTATTATTAAATTATTTATCTTACTGCCGGGAACTTGAAACTATTAAGGCTCTGTGTATCACACCAATATTTCATTTGTGAATTTACTACCACGTCCATGACATACGATTCATCATCAATAATTGAGTTACGGCCATTCAAAAAAAGAAAAAATGCATATAATTAAATAATTTCACGGGAAGCATTTTAGTGATTATGTGGATTTCATGTCAAACATAAAAAATGTATTTCTGGTCAGAATTACGTATGGTTTGTTAGGTATGTCAATAGCGAAGTCAAGTGCAATAGCAATACAATGATGATGATTTATGTAAAATTTATAGTTTTTATATGATTTTGATTCTGTTTTCCTATTTCGTACTAGGTAGTTATTAGTTACGTAACTAATGCAAACACAAGAAAGACCCAGTTACAACTGATATATAAACGTGATACGTGCGTTTATATAATTGAATAATATTTTAAATTTAATAGGAAAATGTAATAAGTTCAACCATGTAAATGCAGATATATTGTGAAATCGAGGAATGATCTCATACGTGGATTCGGGTAATTATAACATTATCACAAAATTTATAATTACAATTGTTATCCATCATTTCATAGTTTTCTTCATCTGTTATTACATGGGAGACTGTAATATTTTATTTGCAGGTCAAGATTCCAATATCAAGTTTTGTTCTGCGTATTCAATAAATAAAGTTTCATTCTCGAATTTTTTCCACGACAAAAAAATTCAACAAGGTTCTCACAGAAAAAGTTTGAACGCTCAATCACTTTTTGCCACCAATTTCAGGTCTTAGAATTAATTTTTGGGACCATTTTTCAAAGCACGTTGTCTAAAAACAATTTGAATCAAAACCGATCACGACCAAACTAAAAACAATGAAATTTATTCACAATACTCTCCTGAGAGCATGGTATAACTACTTTGGTCTGCTTTGATCTCAATTTGGCAGCTTAACAATAAATTTTGCCATGTTTTACAGGCCAAAATTTGTCAAATCTGAACCGATCTCGACTTAATTAACAACAATGTTATTTATGGACATTACGCTTGATTATGTTTCTCTCTATTCCAAAAGTTCATAAAGACTTAGGTAACATAAAAGTTTTTTATTAAGGATGATTATTAGCCTAGTATATACTTCAAAATGCAGGAAAGAATTTGCAAAAAATAAACTGCAGATCATTCAATTTAACAAAAATTTTCTTACGTGAGGCCTGTCATTTGCGCGCAGACCTGTCAAGTGATAGAGTACGAATTCTTATTTTTATGTTACATAATAATAATAATATTTACTGGAGAACATTTTCAGACAAATATTTACTCCATCCTTAGTACTTGGATTTAATTCTCATGTTATTTTGAGAAAAGCCTCATTTCACCAAAATATAAATGGTAATTTTTAATAGAATTACGAAATTGTCGCTTTAAATAAAAGGCCATTGCTCTGCTCGGCTGAAAAAGAAACACACAAACGAACAAACAGTCAATTATGTAACACGATTCGTGAGAAGATTGCAACAGATTGATGTTCTCCAAACCTAAGTTCGACTCCACGCTAAAAATGAGAAATGAAAACTAAATAATTAAAATTTTAGGACCCAGGCGCCGAATACTCCATAAACTACAACGGTCATCGTCATTTTTTTTAGCCATAGAGATTTCCTCGCACAATGGACTCCAAAGTAAGATTTCCATCACAAAAGTGAACTCAGAAATTCCGGTCAACATAGAACTGAAGACCAGCGTAATAATTTTCGAGACGGTGGCCTCTTGTATACACGCAGCGTAGCGGAGCATGACGCGACGTGCTGTGCTATACGCTAACGGTTGCAGGATGGCGTCGCCGGTACCGAATGCGTTCCATGCTCAGTCGTTTATGAGGCCAGGATCTTGTTTGACGTATTTGTACCTGCCTGTTTAAATAGTTTTAGGTCTGTTATGAAATGTGATGAGCTCAAATTAAATTTCTTTCTAAATTTACAAAAGCACCTGGGTTTAGAAGCCAGAGACGTACAGTATATATAATATGGTCATGCCCTTTAGCACATGATAGGTCAAACAGTTTAATGTGATATGTGATTGTGTCGTTTGTAAACGGTGTGCGTGGCCGTTTCTTTTTGTATTTATGTTTAAAGGCATACTGTTCCCAGTAGAGTTTGCGTTTAACCTAAACAGGTATATCTGTGTTTGTTTGTTGACATCAGTTTGCCCAGGTGTTGCCACTGTTTGCTCAAGCTGTATAGTTAATTACTGATGTACTAATTGCCACTGTACTAATTAATACTTACTACTGTTCAGCCTTTTAGTTGATATTAAGTAGAGAAATTTATTTTACTGAACACGAATAGAAAGAAACTCGTTTACCGACTTGTTTATTAATTACTCGTTTGATAATTACTAATTTGCTAAAAACTTGTTTACAAATGAAGTCTATTATTATTGATGGTCAATTGCTAACATCTAATCCAAACAACTTCGACCATTGGGGTCACCGCAATTAAGTCTTACACGATTGCGTTGCTATGGCAAAATTATGTTATGTTCACTTCGCGTTCCATGATAAACATTTCTTAAAAATTCATACGTCAAGAAAACTGCATTGCGACAACAACAATAAAATATTGTTCCGGTCGCTGGAAAATTGACCATTGGTCACCGCTGTGAGTACAATCATTATCATTGGAAAATAATGGACTGTAAGACGAGGTGATTCGTGAGTGATGTCTGCTGAGCTGCATTAAAAAAACTGATCTGCATAACGAACATTTAAGCATGCGGTGCAAGAGGTAAGGGACGCGATAGTTTTATTTTATAATGTTTTTTATGTTGTTGTTCTATTTATAATATGATTTTTTGTGGTTTCTTCACGTAGTGATGGTGGAAATAATAGAAATTGGTTTTCGCTGAGAATTATGCGTTGCGACTTCGTTAATGAGAGGGAATTAATTACTTTTCATGAAGAATAAAATAGCCTAAGACACACATTAAGTCAAGTAAAATATACCATATTTAATTTTTAATGTCACGTATCACAAATTAGGGCGATCACTTCGTTTTATTTTATTTTTTATATATAAAGCATAATGAAATGCAGTGCCACCCGCTGTGCTAAAATTGCTATGACAAATTTTACACAACAATCTCTTAACAATCGTCCAGTTCGAGGTTGGTCAATCGGGAAGCAGCGGATGTGATCTACATCTATAGTTAGAATATTCAACGGGCACCTTTAATTTCTTAATAAATCCTAAATGTATCGATTTCTTTGGCGTCTGTCGCAAAACAGGCACGCGGCATTACAATATCAAACAACAGATAGTTCAGAAAATTTTCAAAATTATTTATACGATTCTACATTGCCGGTCTATGTACGTCTAACGCAAATTCTTGTTGATTGGTAATTGGTCTCACCTACTTCATATTTTGTTAATGGTACACATGTTAGGTGTATTTAACTCCTGATTCTTGCGATGCTTTTAATAGCAGGTTTTCTGGGTACAGGGGACGAATCGTGCAGCTCTTGACATGGCTAGGATGTGGAGCACTTGTCTTCTACTCGCTCGTTATTCACGTCCCTCGTCTTCAGCTTGCCCCATCCACCGCAACAGACGATAAGATGCTGACAAATACTGAAAATCGACTTATAATTTTGCCTAGTGTGAATCATGTTGAACGTAAAGTAGATATGAGAACTCAAAACAACGCTCCACCTATCAAAAACGTAATTAGTTTTAAGACTCAAAATAAAATCGAGCTCTCTTTGGACGGAAGATTCGGCGACCAAGAGAACAAGAATGAGCTCAGTGGTAAAAACCTCATTGGTGACTTCAAAGGCAATGGTAGAAAAAGCGGCAGCAGGAGCTTTGACAATAAACTTCCGAAAAGGGACGATGAGAATTTTGGTGTTGCTGGACATCGGTCATATTTGTTGAAGGAGGAAAAGCTGGTACGGAATCAAGAGCCGACCACGTTGGAGCTGATAGAGAGAGCCAGCTTCACTGCCGGATTGACGCAGTCTCTCAATCCAGACGAAGAAGATGGTGACACGTCGCCTGAAATAAGTAAGAGTTTAAATTCAAAACACTACAAAAATTTTAATGGAATCGCTGCACGAGCTGAGAGCAGCTTTACTTCAGATGAGGCTCCCAACACAACCAACGTCACTGACGTCTACGCCCGTGCTGTGGAACACCTCCGTGTGAAGGAAGGTAACCTCTGGTTAAGTTGGCCAGAGTGCCTGTGTGGGGAGTCATCGCCTTCAGGTTTGGAGTGCAGCCCCCAAATGGAGCCGCCAGGAGCCAGAACGTTGGCCTATGGATCAGGAGGAACGTGTAGCTGGAGAGCCGCTCGCTACAGCTCCGATAGAGTGATCAGCGTTACTACATTCGGCCCATCAGCATCGTGAGTCTCGTACCCGTAATGAACTTACTATGCACGAATATTCATATTGAGGTAGAAAGTTGACTTTAGTCTGATGAAAGCATTACTAAGAACGGGATTTCATATCAGTAGGCGCACTGATATGAATTTTAAAAGGAAGCTATATCAGTATTTTGCCGTGGTTTTCGGATTTAATTTTAAATCTGAACTTTAAATTGGCAGTTTTCACCGTCCCGTAATCAGAATTAAATGTGCTCTGCTACCTCAAGCCACGAAATGTGAAAATTTTTCTGTCTCATGAACATTTTAGCTACAAAATTTGACTGCTGATGCGCTGTACGCTACATTGACACACCCCAGATATGAAGCTCCTCTTGCGTCCCTGATCTGGGATTCGCCGAGGCTGTTTCCCGGGTGGTCGGTGTGGGTGTATGTAAGGCACCCTCATCCCCAGCAGGTATGCACTCTGCTTCGAAGCGCTCAACACGTCTTCTTCTGTGACTCTAGATCATTGCCGGCTCTTGGTGATCTCAAACGGACGAATCCCCGCATGTGGAAGGTAAAGTTTGGCATGAAACCGACCTTTCCATTTTACGAGGATAGTTTTGGTATCTAAATAATATAACTACCAGCACACGGTCATTTGTGTCAGGGTTGAAGTTGATGCTTATGATATTGTAGCACAATTACGCATGTAGATTGTGCTACAATGACAAGAGCACCCAACATTGATTTTCTTTAGGTGGCGCCGCTGGGGGACCCGAACCTGAGGGCCGTGTACGTACGGAGCGTTGGTAGTCTCTCGTCGCCGCGTGAGGCTCAAGCCGTTCAACAGTGGCTGCACTCTGGCAAGGCCAGTAACTCGTAGATGGATGTTCTGCTGTGATAACACCACACTGGAATATATTTTCACTGATATCCAATGACAATCTAAAAATTTTAGCTAATTTTGGATATCCTGAGAGAAAATGTTTGGGTTATAATTACAACAGACTTGGCACGTGATGCGCGATCATACCCAGCACACCATGCCGGTCGTCGACGGGCTTTGGTGCGCTCGTTGGACTCCGACCTCCGCCTACAGAATGGCCGCTCTCAGGAACATCCTCCTGCAGCGGTCATATGCCTCGCTCGACGCCCAACAAACTTCGAAATATCTTTCCGTGAGTGTATAAAAGATTGTAAACTACAAATTAGTTTGACAATTAAATGAATAACAGGAGACTATTTTTATATGCTCACATTAATAAATTTCATCTATAACTCTAGATGTCAAGGGATCTGACAAGATAGACCCAATCAACCAAATCATGATATCCAAGTACCAAATAATATCTATTTTTATTCACGTATGAATACCAAATTATAGAGAATTCAGCCAACAAATCCACGCTATGTTTCTATTGGATCATATAGTTGTTCACATTACAGGACGTGCTGTGGCCGCAGATCAAGCTCAGCGGTTCCGTCCTGCAGCACGACGCTTATCGCTGCGCTGAGGCGCTTCCCGAAAGCTTCAAGCCTTGGCCCAGTAGAAGAGAAGGCAATTACCACGTCGGTATGAGGTAGGTGGTGTTGAGGTTTTTGCACTTTATTCAACTCCAGTTCATCTATTCATTACATGCGCGGTGGTGCGTTTACAAGGGCTAATCCTCTAAATCAAGAAATAATCAAGAAGGAAAAATCATTATTAAATCCCCATTGAATTTCAAACTGAACATAATAATTTAAGGCTTTTATTAACGATCATCGGTGGCTTGAAATGCTTTTGAGTAGCTGATTTTTAGACTTAGGATATGAAATTTATATTGTATACATGATTAGTGAAGGTCGGGATACAAAATTGCAGGATGCGAGCATTGAGCTTAAATTTTGGACTGCAATTTTCATCGATACTTATTATTTTATTTTTTTTAATTGGATTTACCATCAATTGCTTAATTTCAACCCTTGATACCGCTTTTTTATCACAATGGAGATTATTTTTTGTTGGAAAAATCGTCTGTTTTTAAGCTTTGCATCTTGGAGCGTTGAAACTAATTATATGGTCGGCAATAATTCGAATGAATACCACGAAAATTGAGAATAATATCTATTTTATTCAGTACGTTGGTTACAAAGCTTTTCGTTCCAAGGCAGCGCCGGGTTAATGAGCAATTTGTTACACAATGGACCAAGTAATTAACCGCTCTTCTAGAAATCATTAGCAAGTTTCACTACCGAATTTACAATTATCAATGGACGGCTTTTCTTTACAAACAAATTTATTCGCACATCGATCATTAGGCTGTAATATTTATGTAATAGTGTAATATTTATGCTCGGGACACAGTCTTAGTCAGGTTATTAGGAGGTAAAAGCTGTATTAAAAATGCATTGCAATAGGTATTGAAGTTGCTAAATAATTTGCATTTTTTCCTGCAGAGAAAAACTTGCAGTTTCGCTAGAATGTCCCGCTGCATGCCGACCTATTGACCACCAAGACTGGACGACCTGTTAAAAACGGAACAAATGTAACGTTCTCAGAACGTGCCTTTACTCTAAACTTACACTTTTAGTCAATCGACCAGCAGAAGTAAGTTTGCAATGAAGATGAAGTGAATTTATTTGGCGTCCTTTTGCTTGTAAATTCTTGGTAAAGACGATTGTGGATCGATGTAAGAGGGTAATTTGCAGAGGAAGCCTTGCTCTAAATATTTTGTTTCGGCTCGCTGTGTTTCTCTAGCCACTACAGTCTGATATTGGGAGTTTATTAAAAAATTCTTCAATGGCACAAATTTTTATTCCCAACAAAAGTGTTAGTTAGATCAAGTGATGAAATAAATTTGTTCGACTGCCTAGAGTCCGACCATCGGCTTATGGGACCAGCCACCCTGAACAGTCAAGGCGTTGACTTGAACCAGCGACACGACTCTTGCGGACTTTGCTTCCCTGAAGCCAAGTTGAGGTAGCGATCCCTGACGAGGAATGACGTGGGTTTTGGCTGACGTGATCTTGTGAACACGCCTTTCTTGTTGCCTCCAGCTCGGCCCGTGCCTGTGGACGTCCAATAGACGGCGTGTTAAATGCTTCATAAAAAGAATAAAGCGGAAAAAAGCATCAGGAAATCGTCGTGGTGTTATAAACCTCGCCAAATGTACTAGTAAACAAGCACGGCTTCTGTTAAGTCCGTTGAGGAAATTCAAGGATGTATACACTCAACAGGCGATTGTGATGCAGCGCTCCGATTTGTTGACTCACTCGCTGCGCGCGCACCGACTCATCTTCGTTGATGAAATATGATCGATGAATGCTATGATCTATGAATATATTTATGGATATAACGATGATGTGATAGGTGCATGTGATGCAGCAGATATGACGGTGCACAAGTGAAGATTCATGACAGATTGCTCATTTGTGTACTGGGAAGTTTTCCTGTCATCAAGTTTATAATCGAAGACTATTTTTCGGCCTAAGTTAAATTGATTCGTATTTAAATCTTCGCAGCACAGTCGAGATGGAAAACATTAAAAAATTTCTTTTCTAAAAATTTCTTAATAAAATCCTAAAACGTCAAACTCATTAAAGATTTACGCGCCTTTAACCCAAAACGATTGGTCTCGAGTTTCATACCGAGTGCCCAGTTTCTTACCTCAAATTTGCCTGCAATGTTTGCTATTAATCGCGGTCACTATCGAGAGCTAATTCACTTAAATGACTTAATTAGTAAATAAAGTGTTAGGCGTGGAATATATTGGGAGCAACTGTAGCAACAAATGAGCAACATTCTGTCTGAGTCAACTAATCAAACTCGTCCAATAGCCATTAAATTAATCTTGCATTAGTTGCGATTAAGCCTATAATAAGATTATGTTCATAAAAAATTTCTAAATTTTAAAACATTATAACATACATTAATATAATATTTTATATAACAAAAAAATTCTAAATTTTTCGGCCTTCTTTAAATAACGATTTTATATTTACTTCTAATTTTGATTTTTCTGGAGAAATAAGAAAATAAACTAAAATAAATTAAAATTTTCCTGCCTTGCTGTGTCATGAAGTCTGCGAAGTTCCAAAACATTTCGCCCATGAAGACAACGCTGCTGCCACGCAACTCATCGAACGCTGCGAAGTTGCCCAGGAAAAGCTGCATCTGATATTCCTCGCTCCACGTGTACGCGGGATCCTGAAGAAAAAAAAAACAAGGAAATGAAGATGGAGATAAATCCCCAAATATCAATCATTCAATTTAAATTTATGAGAAAAAGTTTTTCTCGCCATGATCACGATAATTATCCAAAATTACTTGCATTCCATTATGACATATTTTTACACTCCGTTCATTTATGCAAAATATGCAATGAATTTGTACGTGATACATAAAAACATACACGAATAAATGTAATAATACGCATAAGCGGCATAACATATAATCCTCCAATAAATAACGCATGCGACGTAACACTAACCATATGTAAGCCAGGTACGGCATCAGCTCCATATTCGGAGACGCCCACTGGTTTGTTGTACTTGTTGTACCATCGCGTGAGGTCCGTCACTACCTGCTGCTGTACCAGTTCCAGGTGACCAGTGTCGCTGTACCAGGAGTAGTATCTGTTCACCCAGATTACGTCCAAGGATGGCGCCTGAGTAGAAGATCAGGCACACAATATTTCAATATAATTGTCCCGTAATGGCTACACATTAAATAAAGGCTGTCAAGACTTGATCTGGTCAATCCCAAGAAACCAAGGCTAAAACTTTCGATTGGATAGTAATCAAGGCTAAACAGTTTGAAATCATGAAGAATTCAAGGCCCAAAGCTTTAAAATCAAAGAAATCATAGCTTAAACAGTTAAATTGTTACAAAACATTTCAGTGGCTGTTGAAACGAGTGGCAGTCAAACACTAACTCACAATGGTAGAAATGTAAAAAAAAAGTTAATATAGAAATTGATGTAAAAGTGTTATAGGCACAGAGAAAATGACGCCAAACTTCCCAGCAAACATGCTTTATCAGTACGGAATGACGTCCAATTGCACCCGCCATATTGCGAGAATATGACATTTCATCGGTTGAATGTGATGACAAACTTCTATATCATTAGCCATTGACGTCAAACTTTCATATTCATCCACGTCAGACTGCATAGGTACAACAGTACATCCACTCGGTGCGATTTATAACGATGTAAATTTCACCAGTCTGACTAGGATTAAGACCATTTGATCTACAATGACGGGCTGTAGCCGTCCGATTCATCAGTATACACGTCATTCGAAACTCACAGCAAGATCTACGTCGTACTGCGCGTTGATGGCTGCCGTCAAAGGTCTCGTGCCATCAGCAGCCCGTGTGGAGGCCGACACGTTCCTGCACCAACATAAGGCCTAACATTTCATGTGAAATAAATTTAAATAATCTTTATAGGAACTCACGGCGTTGTCTGAGTTGAAATCTTGGCTGAGTGCACTGGTCACTGGACGGGTTGGGTCTGCTAACTTGGTGACCGCAGAAACTTCTCTATAGAAGAGTAAGGACTAGCGGGTTAGTGGTATTTATCAAATTTACAATGAATACTGTCAATGAATCATAATAATTACGCGTATTTGGCGTTTAGATATGATGGAATTAAATGCATTTAATAATAGAGCTAATCACTGAAGGAACAGAGTACCAATGTCTACCAAACTTCCCGATGATCAGTGTAGGATCTGTCGTGCAGAGAACACCCCAATTGGTAACGCATTAAATGCATACGATATTGTTACGCTGAGTAGGCGCTTATAGTGTCACGCGAGTGGCAAGTTCAGCCTCAGTATTCAAAGCAAGACAACATTACTCACGCGAAATAAGAAGTAGCCGCAGCCTGGTAGCTTCTTGGTTCATTAGCGAGACTCCAGGAGATGACGGCAGGTCGGTTTTTGTCTCGCCTCACCAGCTCCCGCATCACTTCCGAGTGACGCGAGGCTAACGTCTCATCGAATGTCCTGAAATAAAATTCACAATAAGTAATTAAGCACACATGTCAATTAATCTAATGCTGAAAATATCTAAGGTTTTTATTCATTTCATGAAATTCGAACATTTTATAGACTACTATGATTTATCGTGTTCTTTATGAATTACTCTTCGAAATCTCACTATTGCCGAATGCTTTTTCTGCATAAAATGTCCACGTCTAAATAAAAATGAGAAGGTCGATGGTGGAATCAGCATGAGTTATAATTTGATAATTTTAAATTTTAATGAAGAATTCGATCATTTTAGATAAAATTTTTATTATGTGGATTTTTGAAAGAAATCTGACTCTTGAAGCCGCGCAAGAATTTTTGAAGATGTTCTTCACTCCATGGGCCAGAATTCTGACCTCAAATTGACCGCTGGGCTCTCATCGATGACCATGATGCCCTCGGCATCAGCTTGGTCCATGATCTCCTCGGCGTAGGGGTAGTGGGAAGTACGGAAAGCATTAGCACCCAACCACTTCAGCAGCGAAAAGTCCTTCACCACAAGTGCTGGGTCGAAACCTTTACCTCGGATCTGGGCCAAGGATCGAACAGTTCAGTGACAAGGTCATGTGGATTGGCACTGCTACAACCAATGCGCTGCGCGTCAGAAGGTATATTTAAATGAACACATATAGATCTTCCTCTGCATGGCGTGGAGTCCACTGCATTGCATGAAGCCCTCCATAACGTAAAGATTCACAGCACAGCGTGAAGACCGCCACTGTACCGTGCAAAGATCTACACAGCAACTAAAATGTATGAAACTACACCGCGTTGAGTGAGTAATGTCATTACGCATCGAGATCTACCCAACGCAGCTGACAAGAACTCACGTCGGAATCCTCATGCTTGCCGCAGCCACGGATGTAAAGCGGCTTGCCGTTGAGAGAAATCCCCGTGGCGCCCCAAGACAGTGCCCGAAGCCCTACCCTGATCGGATACTGGTCCACCAAGGATCCGTCGGCCGCCTTGATGCTTGCCTGTTTCAAAATACGGTCATTTATCGCCACCGTCATGTTCTTCAGCTTTTTCAACATATTATTCGCCGATTAATTTTATTTATATTACTTATATGGCATATTGTAGCATCCAAAACGCCTCGTGCAAGTTGCAGGTTATGACTGTTCAAATGCAACTTAAGCCTAGAGATGTTGTGATTGCTAACTCGACTTGAATGAGGAGATATATTGTTAAGATCAATCGTGATTGTAATCGTACCCTGAGTGTGTATAAGTATCCAGGTTTTGGATCCATTAGATATGGCCACCACAGCTGTGGGTTGGAAATCGTAATTGTCCCCTGACACGCGTCGGCATGTGCCACCGAAGACATGTTCGCGTCGAAGACGTCGACAGAGCACGAGAGGTCGGTCACTCCTGCAGCAGCTACGTAATCGATTGTGAAGTTCAGCACTCCTGTTGGGCAATTAAATAAGATGAGCAAGTCAACTTTTGGGATGATGACCAATGATATGCAACGCATGTATTGATACTTGATAGCCTATATTCAGGTAGGCGCAATGTATGGTTGCAAGTTAGTTGAGACGTGGCAGTTGTGTACGTGCTGCCAAACCAAGTACCCAAAGGACAGATTAGAAAGTGATCTACACGATGCAACGGGCAAGAAGAATGAATACTAAATACACACTAAACATTCAGTATCGTTCACACACTGTTTGTTTGTCGGAGCTGACACAGGCGAAGAACACAGCTGTTACACAGCAGTGGCTAAGAAACGATCATGACCGGTTCATTGCAACTTAATTATACAGATGGATATGCAAGAGTCACTAGTCCTTCATTTAAAAGCAAGCATGGAGTAAGGTCTGCCTTTATTTTGGAATTAAAAGATGGAGGGAAAAATTCCGAGGCCATCAAATAAGAATTATTAGTGAAAAAAAAAATATATAAGTAAATAAAATTAAAAATAAAACACCTGCTCATATATTTTTTTGCTAGGCTGAATCATTTACATTCCGGTGGCAAAGAATCTTCATTATATGCCTCGCATACACCACTGGTGAAGAAGCCATTCTCAATCTCACGTTGGAATAACGTTGATTATATATTGCTTGAATGACGTCAACTGCTAATCAACTTGGTTTCAACATTATTGGGTTGAAGATAACGAGCTTGCCTGTTGCGTCCGTGACGACAGTGATGTCATCGATGTAGCTCTGAGGTGTGGAGTACAGCAGCACAGGACGATGGATGCCAGCATAGTTGAAAAAGTCGAAATCGTAGTATTGGATGAAATATCCAGGTGGATACCTGGAATGAGTTGCATTATTTATCACTTATATGGGAAAAAATGCTGTATCCGTATGATAATACTTTACCAGCATTTTGTCTAAATGGCGAACAAAACAAGGTGTAATTAGAGGTAACGCATTTTTTATTTATATGGTATAAATTGGTGCAGAGGTACATTAAGTGGGATAAATGATGACGTATAAAAAATATATAAATGATGACAGTTAGATAAAAGATGACAGTTTCATATTAAAAAATGTAGTAGGTTAACATACAGATTACGTAAAAGCTAATGAATAATGATTAGCCCCTGAAAGTCTCAGATTAAAATTCGGGTTTTACTTACATAGTCTCGTCTGTCTTGTATTGTATCTCGCCCTGCGGAATGGTCTCGTTGGTGAGGACGTTATTGACTGCCACTGTTAAGAGATTCGCTTGGTCAGCTGGCTTGACTGCTAGTGTCACATCAGCAAGCACTGGAAGATGACCTCCTTCGTGGGCCGTTATAGCAACGCCGTTCACGTACACCACACAACTGTAGTGAACAGAACCCAACCGCACCAGCACACGCTCGCCGTCTTCCAGCCAGCGTCTGGGCGTCATGAAGAAAGTGTCGTACCTGAACATACAAGTTCTAATGATATATAAGCTAATTATATTTGAGTAATAAGGCGTTAAACGCATACAAGGTATAGGTAATTTGTGCATTTAACGATTGGTGACGTACCATGCCCATGTCGCTAATGGAATGATAATAGGCAAATTGATGCTAAATGAGCAGTAATTACAACCAGTCAGTATTAACCTTTTGTGGATTTATGAAAACTATCCTGAACACGCTTCTAGATACTAATGGCCTTTAATACGGATAACCTGTCAGCTGCTATATGCTTAAATTAAGGACACAAAATGTTGGTCATTTGATACGAGCGACTCACCAAGCCCATCCCACATGGTCCCTTAAGTCTTTGTCCTGAGTGACGTCATTGTAGCTGCTTGGCACGGCCATAGCAATGACGTCACCAGAGCTTGCGAGTGGGGCACTGTACCATTCTTCCCTGAAGCCCTTGTCAGGGTCATCTTTGGGACTAAGCCTGAAGTTCCAAATTCCGTCCAAAGACTTCACCTCGCGAGTGGCGGTGTCTCGAGGATAGAGACCGCCCCAAGTGTACTGAGCCGGAGGTAGTTCCTGCATATAGAGTAAGCCTAAAGTAGGTAATAATTTTTCTTATCAATAAATATTGACAGATGATGTAGTTGATACAGATATAGATAAATATTGCATCGTTGTTCTTGGTTTGTGAAAGCTATCTAATTTGTTTCCGTATACTTACGATGTCAATGCATATCAATTACAAATTATTTCATTCCATCGTAACAATGCGATGTATATCTATTTTTAATTTTTGGACCTGGATGAATATTCTGTGACAAAAACATGTGTCAAACCTAATAGAACGTTTGAAAAGTCATGTCAGAATTAAAACTTTAAGTGGAAAAGAAGTTTTGAAAAATCACCTCGGGACAAATTATTATTTGCTAATCTTCACGATTGCGAGGGACAGCGTATTCCAACATTAAACCTCACCTTATTACGTCGGGTTTTGGGAATTCTCGCATCTTCTCTCAAGATGCGTGTCTCGTCTCCTCTCGAGATTGGGAAAGTTTCATGCTCGACACCATTAATTAGAACGGATGGGAAGCTAGCCTCAACACTGTTGCACAAGTATTTCAGTTGATATACTAAACAAAAAAATATTACAATAAAAAGTTTCATTTCGTTCCTGGTAACAAAATTTTTGGAAGCCCTTTTGAATTAAGGTGTGGATTATTCAAGACAGCTGACGATTTGCAGATAGAACGCAGCCGTTGGCCACAGAATTAGCGTTTAAATTAGCCCTGGAGCCAACTGGATTCTTTTAGCTAAGAAGTCGCAGACCTCACTGATCCGCAGACCACACACCCCACTTTACAAACGACCCCACCACCTTACTTATACTTACATCGTTGTCTCCCCTTATCACAGCCAATAACCGGGGCCTTTCTACCAAAACTCGTTTATGAAGACATAGCTCCCTCAGTACACGCAGGGAAGTTTTTTGTATAACACTAATTTTCCCTCTGTATACGAATTAGAAGTTTTTTGTATAAAAACCCTCAGTGATTGGCTGACGAAGTTATGAATCCGAAACTATTTTAATTAGTGCGGCTACAGCCCGTAACTCGTCACTTTTTTCTCCTCTCCACCTTCCCGAAGCCACTGACTGAAAGATTAGATGATTTAGGTCAGGTAAGGTTGGATTAGACTGAAAATAAGTGTTGGTGTGGAGATACGGCCATATTGAGACTATTTATTTGAAGTGGGGACAGGTTGAAGAAGTCACTGCGGACTCATTGGGATTATGATCTTGATTTATTGTACAGGCTGTAGCTTTCTTGCACACTGAAGAAACAGCAAACAATTGTGAAGTTGGACATTGGTGTCCTCTAATACGCACTTTATACGTTTTAACTAGACTATTTATTTCCTATGCGAATTAATAAATGGATGATGTAGCTTAAGTTTATTATATTGCAAATGCAAGTTTTTGTTTGAACGGTGAATGCAGTAGGCGAATAGGGCACTGCACAAGCTTGTTCATGTTTTCATTCGTTAAAGAACAAGTAACACGTGGTTTGAATTAGCTGGTGTAACAAAGCATAGAAGCAGGGCTAGGGAGCGCTTCTTGCTATTCAAGCAAGTAAGTCAGTTAACGTCAGCTCAACCCATCGAATTGTTACCGTTTAAATGCTTAACAATCGTTTCAATGACCCATTGCACCCATGGTTGAACTAATAAAAGGTTGACACACGGCGGTGACGATTTTTCGCCGTTCTGCGCCGTAAAATTATTTACTACATGCAACTAGTCTTATTTTAAGCAAAACCGAGGTTACAAATCAGTTGACGTCACGCGGTGACGTCATAAGATCCAAGGTGACGTCACAGTTGGAATAAAAAATGATATCTGCGAGGCGCAGCTGCACTAGGGGAAACCTTGTATTTGTTCAACCATGAAAAAATTTACCTCATTGAAATGGTAAAAAAATTATTTACTGCAACTAGTATTCTTTAAACAAAACAGGTGTTACGGTTTGAATCACACTGTGACGTCACAAGGTGACGTCACAACTACCAAGATGGCATCACGGGTGGAATAACAAATGACATCCGCAAGGCGCAGCTGCGCGTGGATCAACCTTGTATTAGTTTAACGACGCATTACACCGTTCCGTGTTGTTGGGTTTCAACCGGTCGTAATCACTGGATTTCAGCTCACAGTATTTCCCTCGTCTAATGCCAAGTTATTTTCAATTTCTGAGACAAATGGACGTCGAAAAAGGTAAATTCGTTCAATATTCTATGAGCTACATGTATTCCGGGCAGTTTCGATTGTTTATTCGGATGTGTTGTTTATGACCTAAAACATATTCGATGATATTTTCTTGAATATATACGAAAATTTCATATTTAACGGTGAAATTATTAATACAATAAAAAAAAACACTGGAATACACATCCTCAACGAAATAAAAAGTCATTTGTGTCTCCTATTAAATGGTTTAAAAGTGAAATTTTTATTTCACAGATCAGTAACCCCAACTGGAGCGATATTAAAACCATCACAAACTGTAACAAAGAGATATTCGGGAACACTTCTGTATCACTTCTCCTGGCGCTGGTGCTGTATAACATTATAAGCATCTGATAGCGCGTGGACCGGTCGTCGCTATAGTCACCAGAGTCTGTAACCAATCCACATACATCTATATATATCCACGACACCCGTATCATATTGCCAGATACCACATTTCAAATACAGTGATTTTCTCATGAATCTTGAAAGTCTCTTAGGAACATAGGAAATGCAATGAAAATACAGTGTACCTTCAACTTTTAGGAACATAGTTATAAAACGCGTTTCTTTACGACAATTCAGTCACTCCGGCACTCGACATAGCCCAGTCATTACGTGCTCAAACTCTTATCGTCTAATACCAGCAATCAAATGCTTGTAGCTTATCACATCTCTCACGCCAAGATTACAACAAAGGTTATTTCAACTTCTTGTAATTTTTCCTTTGTATCATGTAAGCAAACAAATAAGTAAGAAAATAGTTAAAATGAATGTAATATAACAGATTGAGAGCAAATATTAATAGTAAACATGGTTCAAAGAGACCAAGTCGACAATTCTCCGAACCCGCCTGCGGACTCAAACGCACTATCTAACATTTCGCTCAAGCGAACCATTCATAACTTTTTCAGTACTGAACGGATCTGCTCGAAATTTTGAATACTTATTATCAATGCCATAGGATTAATTACAATGCGATAGCATTAATTACAGATTTTTACATTGCAGCGCTTTCAAATAAAACGAAAAAACGCCATTTGTAGGCAACCGAACCCATCACAACTCCTTCACTACCGAACGGATTTTCTCGAAATTTAGAACGAAAGTAGTTAATATCAATGCCCTGTGATTGGAATAATTATAGATTCTAACATTATTTCGTTTTCAATTAAAACGAAAAAACGCCATATTCAGGCAATCGAATCATTCATAACTCCTTCAATACTAAAAGGATCTGTTCGAAATTTGGAATATAAATATGTATGGCATAAGTATGTTAATTACAAGTCTACGACAGTTATAACATCATAAATTAGGCATGTGTGTAGAATAAAATGCAATAATGAACAAATAATGTGCAATAAAATGCAACATCAACAATTTAAAATCTATCATTTGCAGGTTGTGCGCAAACTGCAGATAAAATGCTTCAAAGATAGTTTTGCCAAGGACGAAATTGTCGGTAGTATGATGTGAACGCAAGGTGTTAAATCTGTGTTTATAAATGAAAAAATGGAAGACGTGGCTAACGTATCAATACGAAAAGCAAGAGAAAACCTTTGCAAATGGGATGATTTAACTGACCCAATCGCTCCTATAAGTGACGAAAATCAAGAAAGTGTCGTCGAATTATTACCTGCTGCTACATCTAGGCCATATTCTAGTGAACTATACGCGCGACCTGCCAACTCGATACCTCTGGCTCACGAGACCAGGAGCGACACGTCTTTAAAAGTTCAGAGTTCATCATCAATCGCATCCATCAGTGAGGTATGTGATCACGGTGTTAATTGATTAGGGTATTTGTTATGGAATTGATTTGCTGAGAATTTACAGTGCAATATATATTAACTTCTGAATTTGATGAACATGAACCAAACAGAATCTCCATTCTCCAAAGCTATTCAAAATTTGGAATATAGGGCAGATTTTTTCCAAAAATTATAGTTAAAGTGTGAAACTGATTATTCCACAAGTGATTTTAAGAAATTAGGTAGTCAAGGGGTAAAAAAGTTATAAATGGGAAGTTGAGCCTATTTGAATTATTGGGCAAAAGTTTCCTAAAATTGCAGGCTGCTGGTTAAATAGGTTGCTTCATCATCAAGTTCATGGGCAATTTTTAAAACCCAACTGGAAATTTTTAATTTTCTAACAGACATACTAATTATTTTGTTAGATTAATGTATGGTTGTATTGTATGCTAATAGCATACAATACAACCATACCACTATGCAGAGGGTGGATGCAGCGTCGGCAATATATGGATTTTTAAGCCCAAAGCGTCGCCGGCCATTTTAAAGATGCGTCGCCGGGTAATTTTTAATGAAAAGCCATTTACGCTGAGTAATGACGAACTATTTACAAGCCACGAACTTATTACAAGGTTGCATGCACGTGTTACCCCAAATATTCATCGCAACTGATTTCCGGACAAGCTTCGCTGCATCGTAATCCATCCAACGTACCGGAAACCTTACTTTTTTTCTAAATAGTTGGCTGAAGACTGAGAAATATATTAAATGCAAGAATTTTAATCTAAATGTGTCGGCAAGATCTTCTGAAGGTGAAAATTTTGCCAATAATGCGTCGCCGTAGGTCTTTAAATCTTTGTTCACTCTCTGCACAGTGGCAACCATACATTTAGAAAGAATCTCAACTTATTGCCATGCAGGCTGCAGCCATGGAATTTGTAACTCTCCAGAAGTTTTCTATGTTCTGTACAATTCAGAAAGTTTTGTTGCATTTAGTAGATTAGTAAGTAGTAGGTACTGTCTTAACTACTTAAATATTACTTCCATATTTACCGCCTGTCCGCCTCTGATGTTTTATTGAAAACTGTGACAAAATTTGATTGACAGCAGCCAACATTTGATTGACAGCAGCCAACATTTGATTGACAGGCTGACAGCAGTAAACATTTGATTGTCAGTAAAATTGACACTTTTTTTTAATTATGGAAATGTGGCAAGATCCAGTTGCTCACCAAGCATTACTTCCTGCTTTCTGCTTCAAACTTTGTATAGATTTTGTTTCAGGATTGATTTGGGCAATGAAGTTCAAATTAATATTTTTGGCATTCTGCATATAATTACTGAATGTGTGGCAATTCTTTCACTTGAAAATCATGTAAGTGATGCAACAACAGACTTGAAAGTTGAAACAGATGTGTTAATAGGTTAAATATCCCATTTCCTGTTAGGAGTAAAAATAGGCTGTTTTTCTTATTTTTTAGGGAGAAAAATAGGAATAGGTGAAATTGGCCAGTATCTCAGGTGGCTTCTGCCCATTTTCCCACTTTGCAAGTTGAGTAGTCAGCCAACACCTTATGCTTTTTTTGCCTCCTTCTCTGGTGGGCCAGCTGACATTGGAGAGTAGTTATAAGACAACATTAACTTATGACATATCACTATGCAACTAACACAAGGCCAGAAAATGGGTATGTACTTGAAACATCAGGCCTCTTAGGCCTATTTCATAAGCTGAGAGTCTCAGGGTGTGCAATAGATAAGCAATTTGTAGCAAGGATATAATATATATAAATACTGAAATTCATCTGAAGAAAAAAGTGATTAGATTTCAAATAAAAAAAAATATATATCAGATTTTTGAAAAAGACACCAACAATTATCAAAACTTACTGAGACATTATCACAAACTTCACTGAATTGTAATAACAATTATCATTTCCTTGTTTATTATTTTTGGCAAATATTTGTAAAATATCCTGTCACCTGCAGGAGCAAGCACCTGAATGAATATTAATGCAGATTTTCTATGTCAGCCTGCTTACTAAACATCTTAATATAATTGTCTTTTAATAAATTGATTTTTATATGTTTAATTTTGATTTGTTGCATCTATATTAATTTCACTCATGCTTTCAGTTTTTGAACTGGTATGATGATGCTGAAGAGAAACATGCACACAAGATAAAAGGAGATCTGCTGTTACCTTCTGCTGTCAAGGCTGAGAACCCCAGTAACTGCACCTTGGGGACTAAATCTGCAATTGCAGACTACATTGGTCAGCTCAATGGCCACAGAGAGGAAAGTCAGGCTCTGTTGCACCAACTTAATGCTGCACTTCACCATCTGGATGAGCTTCACTCTCAGGTTTGAGCAAACTCCCCTATCAATATAGCTAATATCTAGAGCCTATGATTGATGTACAAAAGGTCAAATTTTTGCATCCCATCATGCTACTAGTTTGAAAACATGTTGTTTCATGTTGTTAATGGCTGCCTTATTTCCTTCAACTTTCATAGTGTTAATGGCTGCCTTATTTGTTTTCCAGTACACAAGTGTGTCAACACGCACTACAGCTCTACACACAGACTGTGAGCATTTGCTTGCAGAGCAGACTAGTCTGTCAAACACTGCTGAAGATATTCAAACTAAACTGTGGTACTTCACACAAGTGGAATCCATCTCTCAGAAGCTCACATCTCCTGCCTTCACTGTCACAAGTGAAGGATTTATTCCCCTTCTGGCTAAAATTGATCAGTGTATTGCATACATGAGAAATAATCCCAAGTACAGAGAGTCTTCAATATATTTGGTTCGTTACATGCATTGCTTGAGTAGAGCACTAGGCCTCATAAGAATTTATGTTACCAAATCTTTAGAAGCTGCTACTAAGCAAGTGTTACCAAAGCCTGGTGAAAGTCAGCCTAATTCAGATAACGCTTCTGTCTTGTATTATAGTAAATTTCGTACTAATGCACCAAGGATCAAAGCACTAATGAAAGAAATTGAGGACAGATTAGTTGATCAAAGAGATTTAACCCTCGCAGAAACTAGTTCAGAGCAAAGATATTCAGTTAGTTCAATTCATTCACAAGCAACAAGTGAGAAAATCTCAAGTGAAAGACGCAGCTTGAGTTCCTTATACCAGGTCAGCTCCAGTGATGCCTTGCATCAGGTAGAATATCGTAACCTCCTGCTTGACTGCCACCAATGTTACTTCATGCAACGGCGTCAACTACTTGGTCCTTGTGTCACTGATGCTGTTGCTCAGTTACTAGCCAAGTACCGCAAAGACCACTGCACACTAGTCCGGAGCGGATGTTCTTTCCTTGTTCATGTTTGCGAAGATGAACACATGCTCTTTCAGCAGTTTTTCTCCCTGCCTACTACTGAACTGGATAACTTTCTGGAGGGCCTCTGTATAGCACTATATGATGGACTCAGACCTCTCATCATACACATAGATCATCTTGAAACGTTGTCAGAACTATGCAGCATTCTAAGAAGAGGGTGAGGAAGATTTAATGTGCACAATAAACATTAACTAAATGCAGTGTCATTGAACTTAATAGAGATTTTTACTGTTAGATCATTAGCTTGGACTGCTTGAACTGACAGGGAAGAAAATATTAGCACTTATTGATTGTATTTAACTGGCATAGTATCAATTTATTCACCCTGTCAGTGCCTCTCCTCTGTTTCCTATACTAAGGATAGAACAGTTTTGTCTTTAACTGGCTCTATTTGAGTTGAACTAATTTTTCAAAGAGAAGAGTAAAATTTCTCATTGAGTTGGTGACGTGTCTTTGTAATCATATTGTCTAACTATTAAAAGTTTGTTCAAAATTATTTTTACAAACTTTGTTAACTTGAAACATTCACCAAAAAATAATAAGATGCCTGATATTTTTACTTTCTCAGGATGATTGAAGAGCATCTGCAGAGTAACCCACAGCAGTTGTCAGCCCTGCGCTCTGTTGTCACCAGGATGCTAGAAGATGCACAGGAACGTCTGGTGTACCGCGCTCATGTCTACATCACCACTGACATTGCTGGGTCAGAACTCTTATTCATAAATCCTGTTGTCTTCTGCAGTCGTTTGAAGGGCCATTTTCAATGCTTTCGAAAACAGGAAAGATTACATACACTCTGTCAGCAAATCACTGATGGCTTTTTAAGTAAACCCCTAAAAACTTGAATATTTTTGTGTGTCATTTTATATTATGTGTAATATAGATAAAATTATTACAGAATAATAATTGTTATATAGGTAGTAGTTCTGAATTTGACAAGAAGTATTTAATTTTGTTTTTAATTATTAGTAATTTGTATGAGTAATAGATACATGTCTTGTGTAATAACATTGTTGATTGTGTTCAGGTTCACACCATCTCCCGGTGACGTAGCATACCCATCAAAGCTGGAGCTCATGGAGCAGATTGCTAAGGAGATAAACGACTCGGCACGCCGTGCGTCGCTCGCACAAGCTGGCTCCTTTAGTGACGCTGCATCCGTCGTGTCCCTTGGGTTAGCCTAACTCTTTCACGAAATAAGTGTATAAAAAATTTAACTCAGTACTCACTGCAGTGAGTAGTGACAGAGTGCATTTTTTCGTCGACGAAAACGTGAAGCCACGGACGGACAGACAGACGGACGGACGGACATGGCGAGCACAATAGTGCATTTTTTCCATAAATGAGAAAATGCGCTAAAAACAATTCATTAATTTATTTATGGAACAAAACATCCTACAACTTTGCCTGAGTTCTTCATATTCGCACTTCTATGATCTTCCATTTCATTCATAATGATGATTTGTTCATTGTGGTTTATTAACTGTTCAGTTGCAACTTCCAATTTGTTGCTGGTCATATAATGGTGAAAAATCTTTTCTATCTGATGAATAAGCTTTTCTCTTACTCTGTATCATTCGTCTTTATCATCGATTTCTTTAATGTCTTTCTATGTGTTTTAACTTGCACTAGATGCAATTGTAATTTGCCTGACTTAGGTACTATTTGTGAAACAATTTTGACAGGCAACTGTTCTTAACCCTTGTCAGACTGCATAATTTTATTTTATAGTGCTACCGAGTGAATGCGATTTTAAATTATACCGGGTAGTCGTACCGAGTGCACACAATTTTACATTAAAGTCATACCGAGTGAACACAATTTTATATTATAGTCTTACCAAGTGAATACAATTTTACATTATAGTTGTACCGAGTGAAATCCCGAATTACCATAGTAACTGATTTCATTTATTGTCAGATCGGAGAGCGGCATGGCGGGCGTTCGAGGCGAGCGTTTCAGCCGCGTGGGCAGTTCCCCTGCCGACCTCCACGGCATGTGGTACCCAACGCTTCGCCGCACTCTCATGTGCCTCTCGAAACTCTACAGATGTGTTGACAAGACCATCTTCCAGGTCTTAATCGTATATGTATACAATCCCTTCCAGGTAACTCCTGCTCATACTCAAGAGAGCAGGTGGCGCCCTTCCAGGTAACTCCTGCTCATACTCAAGAGAGCAGCTGGCGCCTTTCCTGGTAACTCATGCTCATACTCAAGAGAGCAGCTGGCGCTTCAAAAACAATGAATCTTTTTGTTTGAAATCGTTATTTACGTCATCACTCATTTGCAATGGAAGGTATAATATATGGAGAATTCATTACCGTTGTTTAGCATCAAAAAATGTTGATTAAATTGCTGAAACATTAAATATAGCCTGTCGTCTACATTTAAGATTTTACAACTTTATGTTGTATGTTGCGGTCAGGTCGAAAGCAGCATCAGGGAGACAACTCTGGATTGGAGCAAACTGAAAGATGCAGCGTACGGATTGGTACAGCATCGTGGCAACCTTTTCTCATTGAGCTCGAACAATGCCCTCCTGCAGTTCATTGTGGACGGTACTCCCCATGTGAGTGCCCTCAGCCTTATGTTAATACAACTTGTCAATACAACAATTATGCTTATTTTATTTAAACTATCAGGCTATATTATCAAGTTATGCATACCAACTATAAAAATCATCTTGCTCAAGTTGAAACAAGTAAGAGATTGTTGGTATTTCGTCACGAGGAGTTGGAATAATTTTGGTGAGATAAATTTTTAGCATCACTCTTTGTATATTGAAATTTATTTAGTTTATTAGATGTATAATATATGTTTAATGCGGTATATATTCTCAATGGGAAAATTGTGTGTGCATCGTAATCTCTTGAATGTTGGCGTATGTTGTGCAGTTTAATTATCGTAAGTAAACATTCGCTCACTTATAGGGTTTAAATTTCATATAAAACAATATTGGACTTCATATCGTACGTCAGGAGAAGGTATTGCTTCTAAAAGCAAGGTGAACGTACACCCTCGTATATCAAAGATGTACTGAGACAGATACAGAAAGCTAAAAAATATTATATAAACACAAATATGCACGAAGACAATGAAAAATTCCCAACTAAAAAATATTGTAAAATCACAAATATGCACAACGACAATGAAAAATTCCTAATTTACACAAAAGGAGATAGTGCGAATATTTAGTGTATTCCAGGAAGTGAAATATTCAGTGTATTTCAAGATGCATGGTATAATGTTGATGTTAACAGTGCGAATATTTAGTGTATTCCGTGAAGTGAAATATATAGTGTATTTCAAGATGCATGGTATAATGTTGATGTTAAGAGAACTAGAAATGAAAATCTGTAGCAAAGCTTCAGTAAAGCATGAAAGTTGACCAGGTGCTGGAGTTGCGGATGGACTCGAAGCAGGACGTGGACCAGGAACTGAAGCGCGTGTGTGAGCGCCTGATCCACACCAGCACAGAGACGCTCGTGGGGCGCCTCACCGCCTTCATAGCCAAGCTTCAGCTTATAACCAACATGAACAGTAGGGAGAAGAATATCAAGCCTATACTTCTGAAGAACCAGCCGTTTGCTACCCCTGAGAAGGTACGGCTTTGTCACGTTTTGATGTAAATGACTGCTCAAGTTGAAGGGTTTGAAAATAATTGTTCAGAGAACATACCTACGTCACAATTTTTCCTTTGAATTCGTTTTTTAATAATTTTTTTGGACCTCCTAAGCAGTCCTAATTCTTATTATTTCAGTCTGAAGATTGCTGGGAGAAATTTTTTTTTTCTGATTGAAATATTTTTATGCTGCGTTTACTTTTTAGTGGAGTAAATAATATTGCCAAGAGATGGTATTATTTGCTCATCTGCATTAAAATAAAGTTTTGTCTACATTGTTTTACTTGATTTAATAGTTTTTGAATAAACCAAAATTTGTGTTGCATTTTTTATATTTTTGCATGTGGTGTGCCATTTGTCCCATTAATTTAGGTGGACTATTTATTTCTAAATTCAGTATGGAAACAACATTATTTTATTTTTCAGCTTTATCATAAATGAAAAGGTAAAGTGGCGGATTTTGGGTCGTTTCAGTGCATTTTAAAATCGAACTAACAATTGGAAAGAAAATCGCCACTTCTTGAAGTAAATAGAACTAGAACGGGAGCACCAACATGAGTTATTGTAATGGGTTAAACAATGGTTTCATTATATTTGATTCGTAATGCTTGATTATCGTTAATTTTGAACGTTATGTCCAGGTGAACGAGTTGGTGAGTGAAGTGTGCCGAGACATCCGTTCCAAGTTGCCAAAACTGCAGCGTGACTTACACCTTTACCTGGCAAACCGTGACACAGAGTTTATTTTACTAAAACCTGTACGTGTCAACGTAGCATCGTCTTTCGGGCGTCTGCAGAAGATTCTGAGTGAAGAATACAGCGCCGATGACATCCTTATTGCTAACTGTCCATCCGTAGATGAAATTAATATTATGATGAACGCCTTGCTCGAAAACAGGGACGAAATCAAAGAAAGTTCGTCTCGTGCAGGTTCAGTTTCACAGCAAAAAAGAACTTCTACCCCCGTGCATGGTAATGAAGGAGAAACGAATTTGTCACGTGATGAATCCACTTTACAAGAGCAAAGTAGCCCCGCCACTGTGATAGCTGTCAGCAATGGAGTAGCTGACATTGGTGTCAACGGGCAATATCCTGAGGTTTCTTCGACACAACAAGCAAGCAGCACTGCTGAGCTGACTTCAGGCCTCAACGGCACTTGAGTCATCACTTTGCAGATGCTCGAAGAGAAAGAAGCTCTAATAGAACAAGTTCGAGCGTCTGTTGGAAGTTGAACTTTTGTGATTGTTATGGTGTACTTGTGGTATATTTCTGGGAGCATGCGTCATGAAAATTAAACGCTGCAACGTCTTGAAGAGCAGACAATTTTTATGCTGGCTCTGTGAATCTGAGTAGTAACTATTGGGTATAAATCAGTGGCACGCTATGGTTGAATATAATCAAAGTAGATTATTCCGGCATTTGCTAAGCCGCTTAAGCCTAGTGAATATAATGCTTTGGTAAAACTTATTAGGAGCCTTGATACGATTTTGTGATTCTTCACGCGTGTATTGTTTTTGTATCGATTATTGTAGGTTGAAGTCACGTTGAAGTCGGAGAGGTAAATGATATTCACACATTCCATCAGTGCATCACTGCAATGGCTCGTCAGATAACCAAGCTATGCACAGAACCTGCGATTCTTTTTACTTGTTATCAGGAATTAAAAATGAAGGAATTTGTAATAAATGCAAATTTTAAGAACGTTAATGTGTTCAGTCAAAACGAATTCGGTGTAAAACTTCAAGGTCCGTTAACAATTTAGATAGTATCCACTGCAGCCATTTTTTTCCATGTGAGTAAATGAAGGGAAGCGCCCATTATATTCAGTTCCAAATTTGTTTGTGCAATGTAATTTTATGCATTATGGGATTCAGGTGATGAACCTGTACGCTTGCTGTATGAAATGGGTTTGGAGAAATATTAGCTAATATTTACAGAAGTCACATTTTGTCGGCGTCATTTCAATTGAGGCCAAATCCAACAAGATATTATGAATACCTGCGCCTCATACGTATTATTGCAAGCCCACCAATATATTGCCTCGCTTTTCCTGATGCAAAATTTAGGTAAATAATTGCGTCAATTCAAAAAAATAGTTTAAAGTTGATTTTATTAATGGTTGTAATGCATATGTTACGAGCTGGCATATTTGTTGCCGAGTTTTTTTTTTCACTAATCGTGTAAGGCTTACACTGGGCATTGCTTATGTTAAGTAGTTATTTATTCGATTCAAAGTTGTTATATTAATGTAAATGCACTGGGTGAATAATTGTATGGGATGATCCAATGTGATGTTTTATACCAATTTTTAGATCCTCACCGACTTCCGGCGTTTTATTAGCATCGGTGTTACTTTGCTGATATTTGTAGGTAAAATTCAGTCTTGACTTACAAACTTTCGTCTTATCATACAAACACGAGTGTTGAACAATAAAGTTGTTGAATGCTGGCGGAAAGCATCTGTAGTCCACTGTGTTTGCATCCGCTGACGTTATTAATAGTAACAGGAATTCTTGGACAACTATTTATTTTTATTATATTGCAAGACTCGAGTGATTTTTCGGTTGAGTTTGAACAAGGTGATCATAATTTCCTGCAACTTTGTTTGCAACTGGCAGCTTTCTGAAACTTTTACTCCATTAAATTGCAAAATTTCGTAACTATTAATCGAAATGTTTTCCAAAATAACTAACTAGTGCATTTTTAGAGGTGTCAATAGTTTTTCATTCGAATAAACAGAAACCGACGCTTCGATTTGATTTTTTCGGTCAAAAGCCTGCCATCTAGTGTCTGGAAGATGGTGCATAATCTTGAGTGGGTAAGAAGAGGCTTCATCTAACTCATTATCGAAAGAATTGGTGATGGGGTTTCATTATGTAGTTTCAGGTTAATTACTGCTTATTTTATGCGAAAAGTTACATTTAATTTTGTGCTCCACAGTCACAGATTGCTCAGTGTGTGCTCATCTTCCCGGCACGCCACCTGAGGCGTCGTCACTTATTGTATCGGTCAAAAATACCAGATGGTCATTGTGATAGAAATTTAATTGTATTGTCCACGTTGATCGTGAATTTTTATGAGGAACATTACACCGAATGCCAAGAATGAAATAAAATAAGGCCGATGGACGCAGTCATGAGGATATATTAGCTTCTTCAAGAATTTCTGGTGTGAATTGTCAAGTGCCTGTTAAACATGATATCTATTTATCGTTATGAATATATGCAAAAATCTTGTTTTTACGCTTATTAAAATTGTTTTATTATCTTTGCTGTGACTAGGGAACAAAAATCTCTACTTGAAATGAAACAAGAAACGTACAAATTATTCTTGAGCGTAAATAATTCTTTCACTATAGTAAAAGCATTCAATACCAATATGTAGGATGTTGAAAGGTACGTAGAATTCATAATTAGAACTACCCAAACAGGGACTAAACTCACTTGCTCCATAGATACTACAAATGTATCAGACTTTCTAAACGAAAGGTTAGTAATTTCTGTTTCAAACGATTCGATTCTTTTGCTTAGTCTCGCAATTTTCTAATCTAATAGCCGTCTATCTCATAATGATCGAACCACCTAATGAAAATGAATCGACAACCACAATAGCCTTAGGTCACATAAATTTTGTCACGAAAATCATTATCAAAATAAACTAGGTAATGAAGAAGCTTATTTTACAAGAAAAAATTAACATAAGTACCATCCATCATGAGCTGGTTGAGATCTATAAAAAGAGAAGACTGCGGGCTGACATTGCTTGTGAATTAGGGTAGAAGAAAAGTTAGATTATACAGTGCTAAATAAAAATTTCATTGGTTAATATCAATTTCAATAACAACAATAAATTTGAGAATAATCAGATCTAATTTATCATGTACATATCAACAATTCAAACCTTACTGACTGCATCAGATCTAAAATATAACGTACGATGACTGAATTACAGATGTATGGAATGGCGTTTACTTAGACTCCAGTCACCGAAGATGCGGCAGTCAGGAATGCCTTCATAGCTTCAACTTCTTGTTTGCCTCTGGCAGTTCATGAAGCTCTCGCAGAATTTCTTCTTGCGCAGCATGCCTCTCAGCAAGTTTCTGTAACTCTTCTTGCTTAATCTCATTCTCTATATCATCGTAGGATTTACAAGGGAAGTCATGCAAGTTCCATTCGATAGATGGTACACTTGTTTCTTCTGTTTTTTCCTGGCCAGAACTTTCTGGCGACGAGACATCTGAGTTCAGACTTTCAATTACAGGAAAGCCAAGTTCTGCGAGACGCTCGGCGGAGCTGTTCATTACCGTTAGTTCTTTGTAAGGAATTTCGTCATTTCCAGATGATGCTTCAGTAAACGATTGAGCAGCATCTTCTTTTGCTGCAGCTTCACATAGCAGCGCATCATAATCAGCACTGATGTTATGACCAGTGTTCTCTGGCTCACAGGTGCTAACAACGTTACCATCTTCTTCAGGATTATTAAATTCTTCATCCTCCTCGTCGTCATCGTGACCGCCCAAAGCTCCCAAAAAAGCAGTGGCAACGTTTTCTGCAAAGTCAAGTCTATGCTCTCTGCTCAGTGTCGACGCTGTGAGTCTCATTTCACTAAAACGAGCAAATAGATCTTCAAAGTCATCAACAGCTCCACCCTCATCGTCATCGCCTAGACCAGCATAGCCCAGGAAAGGGTCCTGGCCGCCTGTGAGGACTTCGCTTCTATCCATTGGGACTCCACCTGACGTCATTGGTGAGCATGAGTGAAAACGAATAGATTATAAAATTGCATATTTCAATAACAATATTGTAATAAATATGAAATATTCAAGTTATATCATTGATCCTAATACAATTAAGTCTTGTGCAGAAGCAAAAATATAGTAGATATCATAAATTTTTTCAATTACCAACAAAGTTATCGCTTTGAAATTTAATGTAGAAGAGCTATACCTGCTGTCATTTTCATGTTGGACCAGCGGTTGGCATGCAGGGCTCCTTGGATTCGATGAAAACCAATACTTTCTTGGAAGTCATCTTCCAAATCATCAAGATCTTCATCACTTCCTTCTTGCTCAAGCACCACCAACTCCCAGCCATGATCAATACACCACTGTGTTGCTATGTGAATACAAATGATTATTTTATGTCTCCCAATGAAATACAATGATGGGGCTAATATCATAAAAATGTAAAGCTTTGCATGCTTGTATAGAAAAAGGGATGGCAGAAATAACGCAACTCGTACAAATTGAATTGAACCCAAGTCGTCAGTTTCCAGAAAATTATATATCCCATGTGTAGCTACCAAGAACACACATTAAATATCCATCATCAATATACAATTTAATTTTTTAAAGAGGCCATAAAAGGTCTTGCTGCACAAGGAGGAAGAAACATGTCTTCATTCATTATGAGAACACATATTAAATGAAACGTAGAATTAAAATTACCACGCTGACTTTATCAGTGTTGTTAATTCAGGGGGTACAGAATTTCAGGGATGCAGACATGGAATTCACAATATGTCATCAGGAGTTAATCCTTAATTAAAGATATCACTCATAGTAAAAATGATCATCAGAAAAGTTTTGATGGAGTCCACTGAGTATTTTTTATCAATAACATTACAGGTAATCAAGCATTTTCTGTTTCTATATATCAGAGTTATTAAATTCCAAATGTTTTCAACTCAAAGAATAACACCTCCTATTGCATTGTTGAATAAGCATACTTCTTCACGATGCTCACCAGAAAGTTTAGAAACTTTGGCACCTTCAGAAAAATTATTGCACACCAAGAGGCACACTTCAGGCTGGAAGTCTTCTAGGCTCTCCATGATAACATCCAATTTTTGCTGAGAATCCTGAAAGAAAAGATATTACTACTAATAAAAAAGTGATACTTATTTCAACAACAGATGAACAATGCTTTGTTTTTGAAGCATAATGAAACAAATTATGATAATTTTAGGAGACTTCATGTATTATGGATGCAAGAACTCATTGTGCACATATGACCGTAAATTATCAAAACCATGGTTCTATGAACATGCTATTGAAAATAAAGTTCATAATTGAAGTGCTTGCTCAATGAACATGATTCAAGAATTTGATTTTGAACACAAATTTGGCAGGAGAGTACTAAAAGTTATATATTTTTATATTTTTACTGGCATAAGATAAAAAATAATACATTTTGTTATGTTTTGTCTAACTGTCATTATAGCTCTCAAAGAAAATATCATCCATTTGATTGTTGACTCTCAGTCAATATGGTGACATAAAAATTTGTACAAGTCACTAACATCATGATTGTTATCCCAGTATATAATGAGAGCCTGGGCAATGCTCTTGAGGTGGTTGAGTTGCTCCACCCAGGATTGATGCATCACCATAAGCAGCACATCAGCACGGTAGTATTTGTTTTCAATAAGCCAAGAACAACAAAACTTGGTATCAAAAGTGGGACTAATTTTCACATCTTCTGGGAGGCTTGCTGTGTTAACTATGCCTGAAAAAAGAAATGCATCATATTAAACCATAAAATGAAACTTAAAAATTTGGCGCAGAGAGCTTTACTAGTGTTTAAAGTATTTAAGCACCTACATACTTGCAGTTATTATGAAATTACCAACGCAGAAATCACAGGCAGGAAACCCATTTCATCACAAATAATTTAAATTGAATGTATAACAAGCATGTGTAAAGTTAAAAAAAGTTGCATAAAAGGTGTCAAATTAAAAGCTTTGACCTAAGTGGTGCAATGGCCAGAGACACTTTTCTTTGCACCCAGTGACCCATGATAAAGTTCCACTGAGCATAAGTCATTTGGGGATATCAACCATTCATTCAATTCTGGGACCATACTATCATAATTAATTACAAGTTTGTGACTGTCAGCCAATCACTAAGGGTATTTCAAGTTAAACCTTGCAATCACATACATGAAATTGGACCCCAGGTGTACCTAGGCCACTTTGTGTACTTAAACATATTTGATACGTACTATGGCCTCCTGGATGATAAAATGAGTAGTATCAAGTTTATGACAGATGTTGCAAAATGCAAAATGGTTCTGGCAGTCTGCAAGCCAGAGATGGTTGTGGAGTTACCCTAAATGGGTTAAGTTCCCTGATAAACTGATGTAGGTATAATTACTCATTTGCCTACTTGCCACTACCACAATAGGCAATACAAGCACAATCTTGAGTCCCAGCAGCAATAGAATTAATCCCATACACAAGAGTGAGACCTACGAAAATCACAAGAAGTTTCAACAGACAACTGTAGTTATTTATCTTTTAGCTATTGTAACAGTAGAAATATCTCCATGATCTTTTCATATGCTAGCTGATCAATTTATTGCCTTATGTCTTCAAAATGTGGAAGCATTTTTATATATGGCTTTGAAAAAATTGCTATTTTCACGTATTAAACACATTATTGACCACAATCATTGTTAAATGGTTGTTGAATTGAATGCAGGTACCATTAAGGTAGGTAGTGTTACTTGCTATCATTTCAAAAGGCATCCCCTTAATTTCAGTGTAGTTAATAAACTATGATAGAAAGAGTGTCTATGTCAGAATCTATCCTACTTTCTGGGAATGACATTTTTGTTACTAATAATCTGTTATTAATATTGTCCTTGATTAATTCTCCTTCTTTATCTTTCTTCAGCTCTTCTTTGTTGTCTCTCATTCATACCACTCCCTCATTTCATATCTTAGCTTTCCATTCACACTTTCATTCACATCTCTACTTTGAAGGGAAGCTCTAAATCTTATGCAGTCTTAATTAGCTTACTTATAGTGACATATCATCAAAACTTTGATTTTTGGTCTATTTCTTTACACTTGTTCCACAATATTTTAGATTAGCAATTTTCAGCTAATTATAAGCAAAAATTTAGTTAAAAATGAACAATATTTAAAAAAAGAAACAGTTAAGACAGAATAATGTGATATTAAACATTAAGGCCAATGAACTAATTAATTTAGGATAGAACTATTAAAAACACTTACCAAGCTTCAACTATAATTCAAGAAATATCAAACAGACATGAATTAAAGTCATTATGAAACTACTAAAATAAATTTATATGGGCTTCTATTTAAGCTGCTTTACTTACTTATAGATATTCAAATTGGAGAATACTATCAAAACTGAATAGCAGATATTTCCCACATTAACAAGTATCCCTTACTACGTACTTGGAAATAAATTGACAAAAAAGCTCCATTATGCATACTTAGTGGCAACTTATAAATCAAGTCTCATAAACATGAAATTTAGATATACGATTTTCAGGTGCATAGGTTCAAATCTACAGGAAAGGCAATACTATATAAACACTCACCTTTAATAAGATTTTGCCATGACAGTTCAGCATGAGAGAGCAATATTGCAACAGCTGGACGTTCATTAGTTTTTGATTTAATTCCTGGCATTCTGATTTCAGACTTGTCAATAATATTTTAAAAAGTTCAAACAAGCTTGCAATGTTTATTAAATTTTACTTTACAATATATTAGAAAAAACTAATTTTGAGGAGAGACAGGAACAAAATGCAATCATCAAAGTGATCAAATCTGTGTGCCATTGGAGAGACAAAGGAGACTTAAGAAGTGAGAATAAATAGAAAAAAATTAACCAAGCACAAAAGAAAATAGAAAAGTTAGTTGCCAGTAGCCACTGAAATTGACTGTACTTAAACCTAAGTTGCACTGTTACAACTTGCAAGCCTTTTGGAATATTGTCTGGAGTTTCTTAAATGTAAATATGATTGTTGCACAATGCACAGGTGATTTTCAAAAATTGCTGGTGAAACCGTGAAAGTAGGCCATTTTTTTTTCAGTGTAGGAACAGGAAAAATTAGCCAGATTTACAGGCATTTTTGATGATTCATGGGTGGCTTCTGCAAACTCACTGTGCAAAGTTCTTCCTAATTTTCCACTTAGGCTTGCAAGCAGTTTATACCTAAATTCCAAAGAAAGAGTTTTGGGATGCAGAAGTTTCCATATACCTAAAGCTGCAAATGCAATTCATTTCCTTATTTTGTGGTGACCCATCAAGCCAAGAACAGGTAAATGAGGCAATGCCTTGTGCAGCTGAGAGCTGCCAGAGGCAAACTGGCAACACTCTACAGAGAGTCAGAGAGACGGTGACTGGACCGACAGTCACCAACTCGAGGTGGACTGTGAAGTGGCACCTTTGGGCTTTGGCAATTGGTTCTAACTTCTATCCCTAGTCCAGGTGAACCGTGAATGTAGATGAAAAGTTCGGCTATAAACAAATTAAAAAGTATGATTAAGATAACAAAGGAAATTTTTAGATAAAAAGAGCTTAAAATATGCATGAACCTCGAAAACATACTATCGTTACCCAATAATTGCCGCAACGTTACCGGCGGGCGGCAACCAAGTTCCTCCAACTCGAATGCCGATTGCCGCCTCGCCGACGCCAAGACATTCAACCTTCCGGTATGCCGCTGGCTGCCATTGCGAAGATTGTACCCGACTGAATCACTAACCGATTTTTCGGCACTGATGTTCTTCTTCTTCTTCTTGTTTGATGATTACGGGAGCTTTGGAGACCCGTCCATGTAGCTCCACGTCTGCAGGGGGATTCAGTTGTTACAGCAGTCCCACCAGTCTCACGACTGCTCCTCAATTCAGAGTCTGCAGCAGTCCCAGCAACTTGTGCCACATACGAGAAACCAGACTCTATGTGAAGGTCCAGCCTGGGTGGCGCAACCTGGAGCCTCTCTCAGCCAAATGTGGCTAGTGCAAACAGTATTTGATGCAAATAAGCTAACAAGATGTCTCTCTTATGGGCAGGGCTCAGAAGGAGGCAAGGGAAAAACTGCTTATCTGGTGGAGGCAAATAGAGGCACCCTTCACATAGGCAGTCATTATGGCATTCAATAGATCTGCACAGAGCACCTCTACTTGAACTCATGGATGCACCTAGTGGTGCGTTTGTTGAAGATTGAAGATAAAGTTAGTTCCACAGAGTGTTATTTGCAATTAGTATACTTGCAATTGTTAGATGTGACAGGCGAAAGTTGAATAAAACAAATGAGCAACATTAAGATAGGTTGGACATACTAAATTCTATTCCTTAAAACTACATTTGCTTCAGGGCATTAATTTCCTTCAGGTATTCAATGGTAGCTTTGATTATTTTCATCTGTATCTCAGGTGGGGAAGGGCCTCCCCCAAGCAAATTTTTTACAGATTGATCTATGTTGAGCAAGGTTAGTGTGTTAGAAAGGTTAGTTCGGGCCTGAGCATGCAGATGGCAGTGAAGTAGCAAGTGATCTATTGTTTCTTCATGCTGGGCACAGTTACACATGGGGTTATCAATCATTCTAAACCTAGCTAAGTGTGCTTTCACTCCAGCATGACCTGTCCTAAGCCTAGCCAGTGCTGTATCTGCCAGCCTGTTTTGGTTCAGTGCCCAAGGCCAATTGCCTATTCTATCTTTGATTTGATGAAGGAAAAGGCCCTTTCCTGAAACTTCAGCACCATTTACCCACTCTCTTTGCCAGTACTCTAGCAGAGTAAAGTGGATATCTCTCACCGTTTCTTCCTTTGACCTGGGAGTAATTGTATGATACCAAAGGGTGTGAGCCTGCGATGCTGCGTGGTCAGCTGCTTCATTCCCAGCAATGCCCCGGTGACCAGGAACAAACTGGAGCTTGACATCGTGTGAAGTTACCAGCGCCATCAGCCCGCTCTGGATCTGGAAAACAAGACGAGTGTAAGTTTGGGGTTTTCTGTCTTTAATTAGAAACAGTGAATTGAGAGAGTCTGTAAAAATGACAATTTTTTCTTGATGTCTGAGGTTGTATTGTTCCCACACCAATGCCTCATGGATGGCAAAGAGCTATGCCTCAAGAACTGAGACTTCAGGACGGAGTTTCCAATTGAAGAGTACACCTCTAGAGGGCACAACCATGGCTGCTGATGAGGAGGGCATGGGTTCAGTGACTCGAGATCCATCAGTGAAGGCCACAGTGAAGTTATGAAAATGTGTCTGTAGAAGATCTTTGAAGATTTGTGAAGCAGAGTTAGATGAGAGGTCTGACACAGGAGTTGATGCAAAGGCTGTTAGGATGTTGTGTTGGATGTTGTACCAGGGAGGGAGGGGAGAAAGGAAAGGACATCTCATTGGTGTGGGGAGGGGCAAAATATGTTCTGAAAAAGTGGCTCGTGCAAGAGCGGTGAATGATGGTAATAGGGAAGAAGATGTTGGAGGGTATTGTTGCCGGAAGGCATCTGACCTGTTATCACTCAACCAGTCTGTGTTTTAACTCATTATTTTTCAGTAACGTCTAACTCAATTTGATTATTTCCATTTTAGTTCAGAGTGATTTATTTGCACAACTAACAACAGTCGCGTCCAATTCAGTTCTGCCATTTAGTAACTAGCAGCCACTGGCATTCCGTGTATTGTGCTAGCCTGGAAGTGAAAGCCTTGGTAAGTCTGCTCTCCAATAGTTGGAACAATATTTTGTTACTTCGGTTGTCATTTATCAGATCAATAGTAATTTCTGTGTAACTGTTAGTGTCCTTGCTCATTATGCACTTCACTGCTGTTAATGTTTCTGTGATTATGCTTGTGGTGTGAATTAATTGATTGAATTGATTAATTTTCTTGTGTGAATTAATTGATTATTTCTTGGCTGACGGTCACTGTTTTAAATGCATAATAAATAGTATTTTAGATTAAATTCTGGCATTGATTAAGATATTGAATTATATTGTTTGTGAATTCACTATTTAGCACTAGGGTTATTTATCTTCCATTTATTTTTCTTGCAGTGTCACTGTCACTCTAGTGTCTAGTCCTACCCTGTGCTCCCTATAAACTAAGGTTTTGGCCTAGAACAGCCAACAGTGCTCATAACCTTATCAGTGTAACTGCCAGTTAAAGCCCACTGATCAATGTCACATTCTTCACTTGTTTCATTTGTTTTGATGTACTATCCCTAAATATAATTTTAATAGAAAATTCTTTCATTTAAAGTTTAAACAAGATTAATAGCTTCCACTGTTTAACTCTTAAGTGGACAACGGGTTTGTCCCACCCGCTAGCACGGTAACAGTATGGGTCATTTCTTTCCGCACAGAAAAGATCATTGGGTATGGAGCACATTGGAAGTGTGGTGAGTCTGTGGTAGTATTGACACAGGAGTTGTTTGCGGTGGATTGATAATGGAGGAATGTTGGCTTCAACTTCAAGTGAGCAAATTGGAGTGGTTTTCCTACACCCCAGTGCAGTTCTAAGGCAGTGGTTCTGTATTGTGTCAAGTTTTGAGAGCAGTGTTTTGGTCGCACAAGCATAGAAAGGGGCCGCATAGTCTAGTCGACTGAGGACTAGAGTTTTATATAGTTTTAGCAGAAGCTTGCGATCTGCGCCCCATTCCTTGTGTGCAATACATTTTAGCATGTTAATAATAGGGAGACATGATGTTTTGAGAGCTTCTACTTGATCCTTCCAATGTAATCTGGGGGCGTTCAAGGTGACACCAAGATATCTAAAGTGTGAAACAACTTCTATTGGGTGACCGCTACATACAAGAGAGGGCAGTTCTACCTTCTTGTTAGTGAAATACATACATTTAGTTTTGTCAATGTTGAGTTCAAGTCCCCACTGACGAGTCCAGTAGCTGAAAGCATCCAGCTGAGTTTGAAGCCTGGCCGATGCCTCTCTAATGTCAGAGCCACTGGCAAAGAAGGTGACATCATCAGCGTATTCTGCACATTTCACTCCCAGGACAGATGGCATGTCATGCATCAAAACATTGAAGAGGGTAGGGGAAAGTATAGCTCCTTGGGGAACTCCGGAACATATTTTCCTCATTGTTGAGAACTCGCCCTCAAAGAAGACTTGGAAGCGTCTATCAGAGAGGTACATTCTCAGCCATCTCAACATAGCTCCCCCAACACCACATCTGCTCAGCTTGTACAAGATACCATTATGCCACTCTGTGTCAAAGGCACTGGTGAGGTCGCAGAAGACTGTCACCAAAACTTGCCTGTTGTTCAGAGCTTCTCGAATAGCAGAGGTTAGTCTAGCTACCCGATTGACAGCTGATACGCAAGCATGGAATCCCCCCTGACTTAGTCGAAATATCTTGTTAAGTTCCAGAAAGAAGACTAGTCGTTTATTCATCATCGATTCCAACAGTTTACCTGTACATGAGAGCAGAGAGATGGGGCGATATGAGGATACATGTGTTAGGGGTTTGTGGGGCTTTGGGATTGGGATTATGAGGGCAGTTTTCCACTCAGTTGGGATTGTGCTAGAGGAGAGGCTTTCATTAAAAATATCAAGGAGCCACAATTTATACTCCAGAGTAAGATTCGATAGGTGTTTATTGTGAATGTGTTCTAGTCCAGGAGATGAGTTTTTTAGATTAATTAGACAGTTTTCCAGTTCATGTAGTTTAAAAGGCTGATTTAAGGAGTCATCATTGTCAGAGCTCAGGGCAATGGCTAGAGGGAGCAGTACTGCTTCTGGATAAGTAGTTGGAGGGGGCGAGTTAAGAACTGTTTGGTAGTGTGAGGCCAGTGCATCTGCCTTCATAACTGGGTCAGCAATTATGGTATCATTGGTTAGGAATGGCTGGGATCTCTGATGAAATGGAGAGTGCAGGCGTCTGCTGCGTTTCCACAGGAGACTAACTGGGGTGTCTGATGTCAAGGTGTTACAATAATTTTCCCAAGATGTTCTCTTGG